TTAAAAAAAAAAAAAAAAAAAAAAAAAGATTGTATCATTGTTCGACATGTTTGCTTTGAACAATGTGTCATTGTAAACTTCATGTAGTGTAACAGACTAACAGTTACAGTGGTAGTTGAAGTACAACTCAATGATGTTTCGACAACACTCGCCGAAATTTGTCTTGCATCCACACACCAATTTATCATGTCGCACTACAATTATCGGTATTATTTCATGTCAATCATATGTACACTTTTTTTGGTTGACTGAAACAATTTGAAACAAGGAACACAATGCGCACTTCCTCCGCCACATGAGACACGACTGGGACGTGACAGAGATTCCAAAGTCAACACATGACGCGAGACTGGCAGTGAGCATGCCAAACAAAAACTCGCAACGATAAAAAAAAACAATGTCGTTGTGAAAGCGACAGTTGAGTAATGTCAGGATTTACAAAATATAATCATCAATGAATGTAAAATTTTTGAAAGAAAGTTTGTAAATCAATCGAATTCATCAAAGACAACGACCTTCTAAGATATATGATGTCAATTGTTGTCTAATAAACGGAATATCTTTAGAAGAGAACCTAAAAGATGGTCGATCACCACGTCGCAATAGTGTCGCAAACATCAACATGAACACCCCGCAACTGACTCCATCCACTTGTCTTGGAACTCCTTCCACCACAACAGTTGTTGTTATCGACTTCCAACTCCTACTCGACCGCGTATGTACTATTCAACGTTCCAAATACTGTACAATCAACTCGAAAACACGAAGGTAAAAACTCGAATCAGTTATGACATGAGAAAAAAAATAAAAAAGTTCGAGGACATTATCTCTTAAGTTGACAGAAAGGAGGATCCACTGATCATTATCTTTGTGGACAGGAACAAAGATACTATCATATTGAAGCAGATCTACGTTTTTAGCCCACCTTGCCGCCATACCGTGCCTTTGAAGTTGCATTTTACTGAAGAAAAACGAATTAAAGCTGAAGACTCGAAGGCCTGACGGGATGTCATATACCGCACATGCGGTCGACCCCAAGAGCGCCATATAAAAATTGACCACCTCATCATTCACCCTGCCATGGATATGCAAGAGGGTGAGAAGATCTTTTGCTGCAATTCGCAACTCACCGTCGGCGAGGGTAGAGAGAACAGTGTGAGGTGGCACCGACCCTCGTTTAATTTCTTCCAAAACCCGCAAGCTTCGAGGCACAATCGCTGCAGCGAATCTTCCCCTGCGTGTTCCACGTGTTGTGGCCCGCACTACACAACATCGAGCAAAGGACACGCGGGGTAGTGAGAAACGGAGTGTCTAAGCATTGTCCTTCATTGCATGACATGTTGCTAAGTATTTATCATACATGGCCTGACCCCTACTCACAGATCGTGGATATGTCCCTTTCTGTGGGGCAAAAGGGAAAGACACTCCTCAATGGCAATGGCATGCTCGTTTTTCCCAATCTCGACATCCACACCTGATGCCTTTAACATACCCTTGTGTTTTGTAGTCAACCCGATGACTTTCTGTAATATGTGTTCCGGATATTTCGAGGACCTCTGTGTTTGAGAAGACCCTACTCCTGCACAACAGAAGAAAGACAACAGGTATGACCACGGAGCTGCGTGTGTGCGGCTGGACAACAAAACGACGAGCTCATTCGAGCTTGAGACCCCCGACCTTCATGAAGGAAAACAACAACAACCCACAAAAGCAGAACGCCAACATTCCCCGAAGTTCGGATTCTGGCGGACTTCTTCCCACAATAGGCACACAGAGACTGACCACATTACGCATCGACACAGGAAGTGTGGATCTCGGTGGATGTAAATCGTCACTCTCTCCGAGAGGGAAAAACCGTCATTCAATTGAGTTGGCCGAATTCATAGTCGGGGAGCGCGCACGTCGTGGCGTTCGTCACTTCTTACCAGCTGGTTTATCCCTTCGCCCCTTCGTCGGTGTCGTCGGCACGGGTAAGGTCAGCACGTCAAGGGTTTGACTGCCGACCCTAAATTTTTTTGGGGACGTGACATGTTGCCGCCCCGCGAATTCGCCCTCCCAGCTGCTTGCGAAGTCGGTGGCCAGTGTCGGAGAGGTGGGTGGTGAGAAAACGGTGGCAGAGGGCACGAAAAAGTGTGACATTGCGGGGTTCATCCACGACAGGCGCTGCAGACCGTTGTGCGGACACCTGCTCGTCGCCGAGTATGCCATCGATAACTTCGACGATGTTGGACAACCGACTTGGTTCAGCCGGGCCCACAGCAACGGAAACCTCGTCGCACCGGTGTTGGAGATCGACTGCAAGCGTCAGCGGTTGAACCTCATAATCTTCAGGGTTTGCTGAAAGGTCAATGACCACCTGCGTCTCCATTTCCATTGTTGTTGCATCGTCATCGACATCACGACCTCGATCCTCTCTGTACAGCAACACAAACGAGTCTGACGACTCTTCACAGCCTGCATCGTCCTTAATGTCCACCCGTTCGTAATCTTCAATATTAAAATCCCCTTGTTCACCCTCTTCTCCTTCATGCAACAGAATCAACGCCTTTTCTCCCCTTTTCTCTCCTTCCTCCCCTTCTTCCCCTTCCTCCAGGATGGTAATCGATATCGATGTCCTTGCTGTCGCTGTCCTCTAGTGAGAAACCAACACGCATCTGGGAACCGTCTACGGATATGTGGTTCGAGCTAAGCGAGAGGAAGAGGAACAGGATCTACGAGTTCCTCTTTTTGGAAACGCGGCCCAGGAGGGACAACGACGTTGAGTACATACACCGCAAGGAACACATGTTAGTGTTGCTGGACAACTACCACGATGCCTCACGCAAGAACGCAAAGAACTTCCTCGACCGGCTGAAGTGTTTGTACTTCGTCGAGTCCGAGCAGGTGCTGAAGCTCGAGAGTAATGGTGCCTTGATCTCCACAGACGACGAGGCGGAGACCTCGAAACGAACTCGCAGCGGCTGGCTCCATAGTTGACCTCGCTTTTGAGGAACTCCAACGTGTATTGCAACAACTAAGAATTCCCTTCCAGTGCGATCACGTGTCGCCCGCTCTCCAAAACCTCCCACACGACTCGTGCGCGCGGCTTGCCAAGGAACACGACGCCCTCCCCCTTTTTGCACACAAATTCCAGCAGATGGACCAATTGTGTGGGGTTCTGCTCCATGTCCTTGTAGACCTTCCTGTCAACTCGAGGCATGGCCGATGGCCACTCGCAAGGGTCGAAGGGAATCTCCGATATGTCTGTCGAGGTGACTTTCTGATGTACCCTGACAGCCGCAGCGTCACCTGCCGACAACCAAGCATCATAGACAACACAAGTATTCTCCCGCAAATCGTCACCTTTGAAGAGAATGTACATGCGGGCGTCAGCCGAGTACAAGTTGTTCCCAACTGGAAAACTTTTCTTCTGCTGCGTCCTCCTGACCCACTTCCCTACCATTGCCTTTACAACGGGCAGTGAAAGAGTAGTCCCACTACCGAGGGACGAAAGCGACGACTGTCCAGTGTGATGGGAACAATTGCTCTAGGTGGGAATTCAAACTCTCGAAAGCTTTTGGCATCCACTGTTTGAAGTCCGCTGGCTCGCACAAATCGAGAACGCACGCGTGGCATTTGGTGGTCCCAACCGCTTTCTCCAACTCCGTGACCCTCATCTGCGCCTCCAGAGGGTCAACGCCGAACAAGGCGATGGATGTCACGTCCTCCGAGTCCTTCCACAGAACGTGCACCACTCCTTTGGCAAGCGCGACCTCCATACTCTTCACCCTACTGTCGGTCAACACGGAGAGGACCTTGTTCTTCCAGTCGGCGGACAACTTTTTGTTGAGGGCGAGTTTTTCCGTCGCCTTGATCGTTTTGTCGTCCTCGCACCCTATGTACGGCGGACAGTCCTTGAACAGCGAGGCGTCACCGACGAGCTTCCTGCTCCCGTCCCACAATGCGGCGTCCATTTCCTTCTTCTCGAACTCCACCAAAATCGCCTCCCGCTTCTTCAGGAAGGGATACGCACGTGTCTAGTCCATATCCATCCGGTTCTCGTTTATAAACTGGTAGTAATTCCATAATCGCACCAAGATGCGATCACACTTCAGCAGGTGCATTGCTTCCTGCACTCCCAGCTTCCCTTGCTTCGCCAATGAAGCAGAGCCTGTCTGCACCCACACTACCTCATAGTTGAGGACCTTCTTGAGCAACCGACATTGATCGTTGTCGGTAAGGGCTTCCATACTCTTTGAGCAGTGCGGATCCGGCTCGGTGACTTGGACGAACCAATTGCCAGACTCTTTCTCCTTCTTTCCTTTCTTTTGGGGCGCCTCGACGGGGACGTTGTAGACGACCTCCTTTCGCCCCAACTTCTCGTTTTCGATGTGGCTAACGCCGGGCCTGACGTCCTTCACTTTCCTTTTCTTTGTGATCCACTTCGCCCCCTCGGGTGCCAGAAGTCTCCTCGTCTCCCATTTCTCGAAGAATTCCAAACCCAGTTCCCACGCGCTTTTTCTAGCCACCACCAGCGGAAAATAAGAGCGAAGGGCAGCGTTTTGCTTCTTAATATTGTCCTTGCCCTTCTCATTAGCGAGAATCCACAAGTGGTTGTAAGGCGTCTTGTGAAGCGCCTGCGGACAGAACTCACGCCATTTCTGCACGTGAGCTTGTTTTCCGCTGGGGTTCCCCATAACAGCCTTTGGAAAACCCTTTTCCTTCCACAACCACCGAATGTCCTTCATTGATAATTTAAGCTGTCTAGGAAGGGCCTTCAATTCCTTCTTGTTGTCCTCCGAGATGACCAGAAAATACCCTTCGAACTCCTCATCCGAGACGTAAACCATACGTGGAGGCCACCTCTCGAAGTTGTACCTCAATGCGACGTCGGTGCCGAGAAGCGCCTTGGCTGCAACCGCGTTGTGCTGGCCTGAAACAACATAATAATAGTATTGGCCTGCGAGCTCATCCATCTAGTCCTTTGGCTTCAGACGATCTGCCCGTACGCCCGGCTTCGGTTTCTCCATCCCGAGTGACGCCAACTTAATGGTAGGCAACTTGTACGTCTTCTCGGCTTGCGAGAAGGCCATCCTCATCGCGTCAATGATGAGCTGTGTGTGCACGAGATCTAGTGACCGTTGGTTGTACGACGCTTCCCACTCACTGATCTCGATGACCCGCGATGGGCTAATGAAGAACTCCCGCTTTGTCCGCAAGCCGTCTTTCCATTCGAGGAAGTACAAGGCGTCGATGTCGATGGGGCCATTCGCCTCGAGAGCACCCGACTGAGGCTGTTTCTACACTGATGTCGGGCGTTTCCTACCCGATGTGCCCTCCTGCCCCTCAACTCCCTTCATTTCCCCCCCCGTCCTCTGGGGGGTCCTTGCCTTATGTTTCTTTGCAGAACCCGCACCCTCTTCCTGAGGATTTCCCCTTCTTTTATGCGCAGGCTGTTGTACACCCTTCTCTTCCCCCCCGGCTGATGTCGACGGCCAGTCGTGAACCGAGGTGTGTCCTTCCACCCCAGGAATACTCAGGACAGACCGGTCTCCCCGCCTAAGTGGCGAAGGCCGCGTCTAGTCCTGCTTTTCGTCGTCATCGTCGAAGTGACCACGGGCCTCACCCCGGTGGAGTTGGGAAGAATGACCGTAACCTAAATCTCCCCCTTCCGTGGGAGCACCGCTGGATTCGAACCCGGTGCACATCTGAAGAGGCTGGGACAACTCTTGGTCACCTTGAACGTGGCAGGGATCCTCCAGGTCAATGTTCCTCTGCTCCACCAAGTCAAAAAACTCCTGTGCCGAAACAACACCTCCGACTATGAGATCTTGGTAGAAAGGGGTCTTCACAGCCCCCGCCCCAAACCCCTGGAACAGGTCGAAAGACAAAACCGCCCTTTTGGAATTAACAACAACGTCGCCCTTCGAACTGTAAACAGTGTGCAGCTTATAATGTTGCATGTTTTCCTTTTTAGCAGGGTGCTATCCGACCACCGCCCCAAAAACTCTACGCCTTTTTTTGTCTTCGAGGAATATAACAGGACCGCACGGAGGTTTGGTCGGGTGGGACTCATCCCCGCAGCACCAATTGACGAACCATTTGGTATGCACATGATAGGACCATGATTTGGAGGTCCGTGATTCCCTCCCCGAGGTACCGGTCGGCTGCTCCTCGCCCCTTGACGTCGACATTGTGTCTACATCGGTCCAATAGACCAAAACAACCCAACACACGGAAGACATAAATTACCCACCCCAGTAGAGAGCTCCGGTTTCCGCAGACCCACATGTCACACACCACCAAAGCACATCAACGGTATCGGCACCCAATTCAAGAAAGAAAAGAGACATCTGTACGAAGTTCGGATAACGACGAACTAAACGGATTCGCCAACCATTGGTGCGGGCTGATAACGCATGCGATGACAAAGAAAGTGAGAATGTTTGTTGACTGCTGGACTCTGCAGTTCACACGTCCTGACCCAACACGAGGGCACACCGAACTCGTACCAATAGCGCACGAACATGACAATGGACTGCACGAACATACGACAAGTTCGTCGGCATCCGCACTTCTTCACATCTTGCCTAGGCTTGTGCGAAATCCGGAGACGGGCAAACTCGATGAAATCGGCGGCAGTTCTTCACATCCTGTTCACGCACACCGAGTCTGCCGGTATCCGCACTTCTTCACATCCGTCTTCAGCCTTCATGTGAAGTTCGGATGCCGGCGAGCTTGATGAATTCGTCGGGCAATATCATAGACGGATAACGGCGTGCGACTGCCAGACTCCGCCTCTCTGACCCCCAGCCTCCAGTACAAGGTCCACCAAACTCGCCCCAGTTGCGTTTGAGCATCGCGAACGACTGCCCGAACAACTGATAATCTGCGGGAACTGAAGGGGAATTCCGTTCGTGGAGTGCGAAACTCTGGTCAAAACAAATCCAGATCCAACAAGAAGGCCCACCAAACTCGCCCCAGTTGCGTTTGAGCATCGCGAACGACTTCCCGAACAACTGATAACCTGTGGGAACTATAGGGGAATTATGTTCGTGGAGTGCGAAACTCTGCTAAAAAAATATCTATATCCAACAAGGTCTACCGAACTCGCTCTAGTTGCTTTTCAGCATCGCGAACGACTGCCCGGAGAACTGATAACCTACGGGAACTGGAGGGGAATTCTATTTGTGGAGTGCGAAATTCTACTCACAACAGATCGAGATCCAACAAGAAGGCCCACCGAACTCGCCCCAGTTGCATTTCAACATCACGAACGACTGCCCGAACAACCGATAACCTGCGGGAACTGGAGGGGAATTCTGTTTGTGGAGTGTGAAACTCTGCTCAAAACAGATCCGGATCCAACAGGAAGGCCCACCAAACTCGCCCCAGTTGCGTTTGAGCATCGAGAACAACTGCCCGGACAAGTGATAACCTGCGGGAACTGGAGGGGAATTTTGTTTGTGGAGTGCGAAACTCTACTCAAAACAGATCCAGATCCAACAAGAAGACCAACCAAACTCGCCCCAGTTGCATTTGAGCATCACGGAAGACTGCCCGAACAACTGATCACGAACGTCCCCTAAGAGTGCTTTTGGCAGTCCGCAAAGATAACTGCCGACTATTAGGCACTTCTTGTAGGTGGTCGGGCGATGTCGGCTTGTAGAACGGGAATCGCAGGGTGGCGCTGTTCGAAGCTCGAGCCGCCTCCGCAACGTAACTGAAGCCAAAGTCCACTGTCGTCAAAGTACACCCGCCAAACAGCACACCTTCGTGGCCCGAACTTCACATGTTTACCACCATTGGCAACGGACGAAGTTCGGATGTCGGCGGACTTGTCGGTATTCCTAGTGGGTCGTCAACAATTATCCTTTCTCACCACTATTTGAAGTTCGGATGCCAGCGAACTTCGTGTTTTCACACAACCACCGCTGCAACTAGTAGGGTCTTCCTGGTTCAGCACGGGAGGGGAGAACAAAACAAGTTCGCCGGCATCCGAACTTCACGTTTTCTGTGCGGGGGCTGACCGAAGAAGTCCGCCCGCATCCGAACTTCAATGACTGCCCTAATCTGCATCCGAACTTTGATGACTGGCCTACTATGCTGCTGAACAGTTGTCGATCGTCGGTATCCGAACTAGAATCATTGTCTAAACATTGCAGAAGGTGCGGCAAGGGTTCAGGCTAACTCGACGAATTGGATGGTCGTGGAGATGATGTTCTTTTGCATCAGAGCCTCACATATTGTCGATCTGGGGCAAGTGTGGTAGTCCGTCGACATCCAAACTATTAGACTGCACCCTTGCCTCTGTAGTCGCAATGTTTAGATACGATCCAAGTTTGGACATCGGCGGACGACAACAGCCCAACAATGATGGAGGCCAATCATTGAAGTTCGAATGCAGGCGGACTTCTTCAATCTGCCCCCGTAGCCGGAACGTGAAGTCAGGATGCAGAGTAGGCCAGTCATTGAAGTTCGGATGCGGGCGGACTTCTTAAGTAAGCCCCCGTAGACAAACCGCGAAGTTCGGATTCCGGCGAGCTTCTTTGTCCTCCCCTCCCGTGCTGGAGCAGGATGACCCTGCTTCCAGTGGTGGTGAATATGTGAAGTTCGGATGTGAGCGAACTACAACTGTTCAGCAGCAAAGTAGCCCGATCCTTGAAGTTCAGATGTGGGCGGACTTCTTCAGTCAGCCCCCCCAGCCGGAACGCGGAGTTTGGATGCTGAGTAGGCCAACTATTGTAATACGGATGCGGGCGGACTTCTTCAGTCAGCCCACACAGACAAAACGTGAAGTTCGGATGCCGACGAACTTCTTTTGTCCTCCCCTCCCGTGCTGGACCAGGAAGACCCTGGTTCCAGCGGAGGTCGTGTGGAAACGAGAAGTTCACTGGCATCCGAACTTTAAATGCTGGTGAGAAAGGATAACTGCCGACGAGGTACCAGGAGGACCGCCAGGTCCGCCGTCATCCGAATTTCATCCGTTGCCAATGGTGGTTGATATGTGAAGTTTGGATGTCGGCGGACTTCGTGCATTCACGCATGGTCTGCAGTCACTACGGCCTTCTGTGCTTGCGATTGGACCCCGAAATGCTGTGGCGATGTTTCGAGTTGGGATCGTGATGGATTACCACAGCGTTTGGTCGGGGTGTTTGAAATGCGTCCTTTGTGGGTCGGCTTAAGCACTAGGCGTTCTGCAAAAGCGGTAGGATGGAGTCCGATGTGGTTCGATGACGAACAAGGTTCGATAATGTGTGATGGCCATGCTGGACTATGATCGATTTTCGTAACACATAAGCGCTCGAACAATAAAAAATAAAAACACTTACCTGGTTTTACGGGTGCAATGCGTGGCAAGGAAAGTTGTTGCATGTAAAGACCAATTAATGGTCCATAAGTCTCATATTTATGAATCCCTTGTTTTATTACTTTCAACCTCGAGTTAAAGAAAAGATCTGAGCACTTTTCCTTTTGCATGAAATCCTTTGGTTTATCTGATTTTAGTAAAACACACACAATCTCTCAATCAGTCAGTCAATCAACGCATTGGTCGTTGGCCTGCTTCATGAATCACGAGATCGACCACGCTCTGTTGCTCGATGAACCAGTTGATTGGAAGGGCGGTCGTGTTTTGATCGATCGCTTGTTTTCGTTGTTGAGGATCGCAGGGTGCGACAATGGCGAGGTGTGTTTATGCACACATGCATGCACACACACACTAAAAGATACACAATGATATGGTATGCATTCGATATAGGTTGTTCACTTGTTTGGGCGCTTTGTTGCTGCTATCGTTTGGTCGACTAACTTCGGCTATTCACTTGTTTGATATAGGGTGAACGATCTGATCAAAAAGACTGTAGATGATGATGTGTTGATAGACCGACTTATTCTATCAAACTGGCGTGAACACCAGTTGATTGTGACAACCAAGCTATCAAACAAACAATGCACCCTCCAAGTGATCAATCGGTCAATTGACGAACAAATCGTTCCCGATGATGA